AAGGACCAGTTAGAGGACAAGTTATCTTTTTTTTCAGGAGTAGCAATTGAGAATGGCTGACTGCCACTACTCTCAGTTGTTCTAAGCTTGGTCCTGGAAGACACTGTGTGTCCCTTCCCAGAAGGCAGAATACATTAGGTAACAAAGGAAAAAAACATGCAATGAGGGTAAATGTCCCTGTGACGAGTTCTTCCTGGTGTCTAGGAATTGCACTTGCCTGCTCACTGATCTTTCTGTTACACAAGAGAACAATTTGAATGAGATGAAAAAGTGCGGGGAGGATTTCTGGTACTGAATGGTCACAAAGGGAGTAAAATAAATGTGACAGGGTGTGATCACTGGCCCATGATTTCTGCCCCAAGGAAAGTAGGAAAAAAGAGGTCTGGACATCACATACCCTCCTCTATGAAGCAGTTCCCCCAAGGGAGCCATGACCAGTGGCTGTGGATGGTTGACAACTCTGCTCCTCTCCACATTCAACCTCCTTTCTACTCCTATTACCAAGTGAGCCAAGCCAGCTCAGAGACTACTCGGACCACAGGGAATCCCACCTTTCTCAAGGAATGGAAGTTGTGCAGAGACTACCCAAACGTTGCTTACCATAGCCTTGGATGAGAACCAATGGGACAAGGAAATCCTCCAACAGCTACCTGCCCTATAACTTTTACCTCATTGTGCCTAAAATAATTAAAATAAGTCCCAGACACAGAAAGTGGCATATTACTTCTTAAATTGGCAGGTCTAACCTAAGACAGTGATTCCCAAACATCATGTAATCGTTGTCTGATATCTTTTGTCCTGGGTCATCACTTCTCTTTCTAATGTTCTAATTCCTCTAGTCTTGTAAGAAAATTGGAAGTCCTTCATCCTCGTTCTCTCCTGGATTCCTAGTTGAGCACAAGTCCCACCTCCTTCCTGGCCATTAGATACCATCTCCCAACATCTCTGCTGTCAAGTCTCCATGATTTGCTCGCATCAGTCTTGGAGATTACATCCAATGCACTTCCCACATTTATCCTCTCCCAGCAAATACTCCAGGCGAGAATCCTAAGCTGTGATTCCCAGGGCAGGGCCTTACTTGACCTGCTGCTTTCCTTGGGTTCCACCCCAGGATCCCATAGTGAGAAGAACCAGTTCTGATGTCCTCTGGATTCCTTCATCATCTCTGCCACGTTACACCTGCATCATCCTTTCTTCTCCAGGGAAATCCAGTGGTTTTTAAAATTTTCATTTTGGATGAAGAGATAGGGATAGGGTAGGTGACTGGACTATGGACTCCAGCCCCCTGGTGACAGCTGCATGAAATCTCTTTCCTAGATAATCTTACTGAAAGTCTTGCTTTTCTGGTTCAAACACCTGTTCTCTAACATCACACCCTCCCAGCATTCTTGTGCTGCCTCCCAGCTCTCTCTGCTTTCTTCCTGAATCTACTATTCTGACAATTTAGCAGCCAGTGGGCCATTTCCTGCTCATTTTTATCATATTTCTATGTGACATTGTAGCAAATTTCTACACTACAGTTCAGCATTCCTGGATGATAGCATCCTCCAGATATAATCTGCCATATGACCTTCTATAGCAAATGATCACAAGTACACTGGAGTTTGGAGGACTCTCTTTTCCAGTGCTGAGTCCACCGACATGGGTGCTAAAAGCCTTATTTTCCTGGATTGTCTATCTCCTTCCTTTCCTACTCTTGTACCCTAAGGTCCCAGCTTCATTCTGAGCTGTCTCTTTCAGTGCAGCCAATTCAACTGTTCCATTTGCCTTGTATTCTCACATTCTGTAGACAATCAAATCTCTTTTTCTAGTACTGATTACCCTTCACAGTAAATTGTCAACTCATTATTGTGTGGAAGGAAAATACTTCCCTCACCAGGAGTAAGACTGGAAACAGGCAGAAAACCATAACTTGTTATTCTCCTTAAAGTTGCCAGATTGCACAATCTGGAAAATTAGATCTGTGTGAAGAAATAATCTTGATGTTCTGGGTGCTGTATTCCAGCCAAGAGGGATTTCCTAAATCCTGTTGCTTTGCTTCAAACCTCTCCCCTCCCATTGGTTCCATTAGCATCGTGTCAGTATATATAACACCAGCCACATCTCCCCAGCAGGCGGGACAGGAGCTCAGCTTCACCTGGGACTTGAGCAGGAACAGCCAAAGGTGAGGTGCTAGAACTTTCCAACAGTTTTACTCTTTGGGGATTCTCTTTCCCTAGCAGCAGTCCTGTGCTGCATCTCAGCTCTCTCTGGATCCTTCCTGAATCTACTGTTCTGATCATTAGAATTCCCCAGTGTGAATCCTTTCTAGTGTAGGAATTTTCTGGTGTGCTTCCTTTGTGTAAAGTCAGTGATAGGGAGAACAGGCATTTTGCAAATATTTTTTGATTGTTTAACTCATCTCATATTACGAGGAGGTATGTTGGTCACAAACCCCCCAACTGCTTCTTTGGAAATGTTCTGTTGAGTTGGGTTTTAGGAGTGATAGGGTATGATTGAAATGGGAAGTGGTTTTTACTAAAGGTCTATTGCAATCTCTCAGACACTGGGGTTCTGAAGAGACAATTGGAGATGGAGAACTAGACCCTCTGGATATCCGTCACTTATGTATCTATCTATTGATGTATCACCTATGTATACACACATATCTATACACACTATCTATATACACAGGTCTCTCTGTGTGTGTGTGTGTGTGTGTGTGAATCTCACATGTGTGTGTGAGATTTACTCCAGGAGTGCAAGGATGGGTCAACATTACAAAAAAACAAAAATCCAAAGCAAAACATGTGTTTTCCAGGGTTTGTTTCCTTGACCCTGCTGCAGTATGAAGCTTTCCATTGGCATCATTTTCTGTTTCCTGGTACTGGGTGTCAGCAGCCAGGGATGGCCAACATTCATTCAGGAAGCTGGCCAAGGTAAGGAGCAAAGGGTGGGGGCAGGAGGCTGCATCAGGATGCCTCAGGATTCACCCAAGCAGAGGCCAAATGCCTATTGGCAGAGGTGGCAGTGAAGCCACAAATGAATAGAGAAGGAGCAGGGTTTTCATGATAGTAGTTCCCCATGCTTTTATGGCCAGCTTTGATATTCTTCTATGAAGATTCTCAGGCCCAAGGTCATGTAAGGTTCGAGCCACAACTTTTGAGCACTGGTGTGGGACAGATCTGGAATTCAGAGGTACGTGTTTTCTTAATAAAAGTGGTGCTAACTGTCCCCAGTTGGGAAACCATGAACAGCTCATTTCTAGGTCTCTGGTAGCCATGAAGCAGGTGCATTAAATGTGTGGAGAGTGTTTGCAGTGAGGCTGAGCAGAGCCAGCCCAGTCCCCATCCACACAGTAATAACAACCAAGGTTGACTGAGCTTTTAATGTGTGCTAGGCATTGTTCTAAGAGCTTTTACATGTATGAATGAATTAATTTTCCTTTAATATCCTTTAACCTGAGATGTAGGCGTCATTACTAACCTTTAACTGAGAAAATCGAGGCACAAAATGACTAAGATACCTAAGAAAGTCTCAACGCAGAGCAGGATTTAACCCAGGTAGCCTTGCTCCTCAGACCTTGCTCTGAACCATGGTTCTCTACTGCTTCTAAAACAAGAGTGAGGGATTTGTGAACATATGTCAGGTTCTTTACCCGAGAAATGGCAAATATTTGGGATGTGGTGTCTTTGGAAGGCAACCTTACCTTCTCTCCCTGTAATAAAAGACACAATGAACTACCTGGATGAGGGATCTACTGCAGTTCAGACATGGCCAAGAAATCGACAGCAAAAGAAATAAATATGCCCTACTAGCCATAATAAAGTAGCAAAATTTTTGTTTTCAAAATGCAGTATTTTAAATTACATGTGTTATTATTTCTCTATGATAGCCTCTGAATAATTATTTTAAGGGTTTGCTGTGAATCCTATCTAAATTCTCGCACACCCAGCTAAAAATATCTTTTATTCTTTAGGTTAATGTTTTTCAAAGGGTTTTTCTAGGACCACTTACATGAGAACCACCTGGGCGGGTGTTCTGTGAAATGCTGGGTCTACAACCTTCACCCACCCACCCCACTGAATCACAATCTCTGGGGTTGGAGTCTGGAAATTTGGACTTTACCAAGCACTCTAGTTGATTTTTATGCACAGTAAAGCATGAGAACCACTACCTCTGGGTTTATTGCCCCCAAGGATCCATTTAAATCAGTAACTCTGAGGAAATAGTAGAGTAAAAATGTTGTAACTCTCAATAAATGAGATCTATCTGAATGCCAGAAATAATAAATATAGAAAATGAAGATTTTATCTCATAGATTACATAAACTGTGATTATAACTCAATGTTAGATTTTCCCCTTTATCCTGATCAGTTATTTTTTTTTTAAATCTTTGCTATTTAACTTTAGCTTGATCAGATTCCCTCTGTCCATAATGCCCTGTTTCTCATCTTCATTTAGTCCTTATTCTTTTTGGGGGGATCCACACTTTCCAAAGAAGAGAAAAGTGAGGTGATAATATATGGAACACCTACAATGTTCTAAATAGACACCATACCTGTATTTCTCATTTCTGCATAACCACTCTGAGGTAGGCATTCTCCATATTATGGGGGAGGACACTGAAGTTTTGAACTAGTGAGTCAGTTGCCCTTTTTCTGCATGTGATTATTTAAAGTTCTTGTAGAGAGCTCACCTTTATCGCCAGCTGATCAAATTATGACAGTTGCCCAGGTTCTAAATGTACCCTTGACACTCAGATGTCCCCAGGACTGAGTTGTCTCCCCTCTGCTCATGGGGATAACTATCTCTCATTGACTAGGTTAGGAGCTTTGAATGTCTGCCAGCTCTCTCAGAATCCCTGTGTTCTCATGCCTTAGTCAGAAGGTTCTTTGGATCTTCCCAGGTAGAGGGTCATTGTACAATTAAGCATCATTAAAGATCTTTCCACCTCTTTCTTACATGGATCACACACAGTCAAAAGCAAAGTAGCAGCAGAACTTAGAGTAGAAGCAAACAGAACAAACCTATACCAAGTGTGAGTCTCATTACATTAACCTAGGGAAATGGAAAGTAAAAGTATATTCATTTCAAGCCAATATAATTTCCAAGGGCTTTGTCCAAGGCTAAAATCTTTGGAATCAATGGGAGGAAAATTTTTATTCCTCTATTTTACCAAGACATGATCATATTCATCATTTACTTTCCTTTCCAGGGGCTAAAGACATGTGGAGAGCATACTCTGATATGAAAGAAGCCAATTACAAAAATTCGGACAAATACTTCCATGCTCGGGGGAACTATGACGCTGCCCAACGGGGACCTGGGGGCGAATGGGCTGCTAAAAAGATCAGGTAATGCAGATTTTGGGGGATGCCAGGGATGGGTGGGCAGAGCTTGACTGCCCCGGACAGACAGGAGGGGGCAAGCTTCCCTACAGACAGGTTTTCTCTAGAGGCTGTGGGCCCTGCTCCTCTTGCCCACTCCCCCTCTCTACGTACTGCGGGGTCTGAGTGGCTGGTGGGAATGAGTGATTCTCACCCCTCCTCTCTGGGTGCTGTTCATCCAGCATAAGGGAGACCAGCCTGTCTGAGTAGGGCTGTGCCCAGGCAGGGTCAGTCTTTTAGCCCCTCCTTCCTTGGTCTTCCTGGATTCCTCTCAGAGCCATGCCCTGGAAAGGGGAGAGTTGGGAGGGCAGACAGTTGCTCATCTGTGATTAATTTCTTTCCCGCCTGCCTTGAAAACAGTGATGCCAGAGAGAATATTCAGAGATTCATGGGCCACGGAGCAGAGGATTCATTGGCTGACCAGGCTGCCAACCAATGGGGCCGGAGTGGCAAAGACCCCAATCACTTCAGACCTGCCGGTCTGCCTGATAAGTACTGAGCTTCCTCTGCACTCTGCTTTCAGGAGACCAGGCATTTGAACTAGATTTACTGAATTCTACTTCCCTAGTAGTTGCTACACAATGCATCAAAATGCTTAATAAATGCTTGTAAAATCCAATTTGTCATTGGAATTTGTAAACAAACGATAGTCTTCAGTCTTCCTGGGAACACAGACCTTTTAAGTACCATGAGGATAATCAACAAACTTCATTGTTTTTATTTTTTAGAAAAAATTGGGCACTAATAAACAATAGTAGGAGTTGGGGATAAAACTATATGTCCATACACGTACCAACTATAAATATATATGTTCCATAAAATGGAAAGATAAGATAATCTTATGAGCAACTTCAACAATAAAGTTTAACACTAGATAAAAATCTACAAATTTTTAGAAAAAATACAACAAAAACTGACTCAAGAAGAAATGGAAATCTGGATTATTCTATAATTATTTTAAAATATTGAATATTCCCACAAAAATCAGCAGGCCTAGATGGTTCTATAGGCAAATTTAACCCTCCAAAAAAGGAAAAATTATTTCAATTTTGTACAAACAATTCTAAAGGGTAGAAGAGAAAATACTTCCCCACCCTTTCCACAAGGTAGGAAAACACTGACACCAACAAAATCGAAGGAAAATACAAAAAAGCAAAAATACCCTTAGTTACCATGGATTAGCTCAGCAGCAACCATATTCAAGGTCAAAGCACAGCCTGAGGTTATGCCTCTTACATTAGCTCAGGAGATCTTGGAATCTTGGAGAGAGGTGTTGTCAGACACCCTCCACAGTTTCTTTTCCAAATCAGGTCCTCTACCCGGGGTCTTGCTGGCCAGGTATCTCTGGGTACAGTGGACTGTTTCCAGGCCTCTGTGTCCAAGGCCTCCTCTCTGTCCAGTCAGTTCTGTCCTTTCACCTTCTTTGTCATCCAAAAATCTGGGTTCCTCAGGTCTCTCTCCTGCCATGGAGGCCTAGTCTCAGGAGCCTTTCCCTCCCCCATCCCATCCTTCCTGAGCCAGGTGTTAATCAGTCCCTGTCCATGGTTACTAAGAAATACCTTTCAATGCCACTTCCATTCTATCTTTCCTTACTCCTTGGTTCAGCCCATGATAGAACGTCACTTTCCCGTTGCATGAGATCTGTCCACTCCTAAATCCTCACCCCAGGGTTACAGTGAATGCCTCTACAGCACTTTGTTCATGCCTTCTGAGAAACCAGCCATCCTTGTCAGTCAGTGGGTAATGTGTAGGGGAGTCCGCCCTGGAGTAGGGGCTGTGGCAGTATGCGAGGAACCAGATACAGTGGCTGCAGTGGCTGCGGGGCTGATGATTTTAGGAAACTACTAAAGTTCCTGTGGAAGGAAAGTAGAATTTCATAAGAACAAAATGGGTGAAGAGGAGAAAACGTGCAGTGGCTGTGAAGGCCCTGACCCCATGTATGTCAAATTGACATCTTCTGATGGTCATGAATTTATTGTAAAAAGAGAACATGCACTAACATCAGGAATGACAAAGCCATGTTGAGTGGTGCAGGTCAGTTTGTTGAGAATGAGACCAATGAGGTCAATTTAGATCCCTTCACATGTGCTATAAAAAGCATGTGTGTATTTTACCTACAAGGTTCGCTACACTAACAGCTCCTCCGAGATTCCTGAATTCCCAATTGCACTGGAACTGCTGATGGCTGCGAACTTCCTAGACTGTTAAATAAAATAAGTTATAACAAACTGTTAACTTTTTTCAGTATTTAATACCTGTAGTTCAGTTAGCATGTTGCCAGTATGCAATTGAACTATAAAGTTCATTGCAAAGCAGATTGTCTTCTCTTCTTTTGCATAGCAATCAGAGTTGACATTTGTCTGTTACATCAATAAATTAAGGACATTTTCACAAACTGAGAAATAAACAAATATGCCAATTAAAAAAAAAAGAATGACAGTGATAATGACAGCTACTATTGGTGACAAGGTGACTATGGGACACACACTGCTCTAGTGCTTTCTCGTGTTACCCCATTGGATCCTCTTATTTTAATTATCCTTATTTAGAGCTTAGGAAACTTGAGGCACAAACAATTTAAATGACATCCAGGCCACATTGCTAGCTTGGTGCTAGAGCCAGCATTCTCAACCATTTGCTATAAGCAGCAATCCCATTGAAGTTTAGAGTTTATAAAACTCTTTTGCATATATCAGCTCACTTAATCATTCCTTCATTGAGGGTATTCCATGTACCACCGCAGTTGATCCTCACACTAAATGTATGACTCTCACACCAAATTCATATGGTGGGGGGAGTGAGTCATGACACTTGGGAGCCGACTCAGTAGGCAGTAGGGACATACATAGAGGCCAATCCTACTCCAGGGTAGCAAGCAATAACAATGATGCTTGGAAGGGACTGCAAACCACATAAATGTGTTCCACTAAATAAAAACTAATTGTATTCCCAACTCAACTTCTCCTTAATCAACTCCCCAAAATTCCTATGACTACTGCAGTGCCACTCAACATAAGAGGAAGTGTGATGGTGGGGATATCAGAGTGGATAGAATTAGAGGTATTAACTGCTTGCAGTTAAAATATTTTACTTTTGCAGATTTACAATGATAGTTGATGATGTGAACACTTTGCTGGGACCTCTCCCAGGGCCTTGGAATGGTTCCACATAGGTAAGGGGCCCTGAAGTTTAAGCTTCATCAGCTTCACAGTAAATATACCTCTGTCTACGTGCATGTCTGACAGGACAGTTCAAAAGTCAAGCAGGATGCAGGATAATTATTTGTGGCACTGTTCCATACATTGTAAGATGCATGTATCTCTGGCCTTTGTACTGAATGCCTCCCAATCATTGTGCCAACCACAAATGTCCCCAGAAATATCCAAGAGCTGGGGTGGAAAGGGGGGTGGGTTCAGTACTATCCCTGTTGGGAACCAGGGTCTAGCTCTCTCTCTTCCAGAAATTGACAAGTTTGGAGAAGAACTATGTTAATGCCATTCTCTAAGGAGGTGGCCACATTTAGTGGCATTCCTCTACCCCCAGCGCCTGACTCAGTCTTTTATACTGCAAGAAGCAACACTTTGGGAAACAGGTGGAGAAATCATCCTTGAGGTGTTATTCTTTGAGGATGATTTATAAGTTCTTCCCAGCATGACATAGACTGTCAGTCACACAGACCCTATCCTGAGCAGCCCATGAGACAGCACAGATCCCCAAAGAAGATGGTGACTGGCTCTATGTAATTGGGCCCAAAATGACACTTGCTGTCCCTAGCAGCTCCAGGAGTCTGCATATCTTATTTCCTTAGCAACCCACACACCCCCAAGTTCCTTTGTGCATGTGATGGTTCCTGTGAGCATGAAAGTATTTGCCTGAAAGCTTGGATGGGCTTTATGTGTGTCAGAGCAGACTTCCAAGTGTATCTACTACCTGGAATGGGAAAGAATATGTCAGATAACACATGAAGTGACCACTGGCGCTAGCATCACGCTGAGGAAGTTTAAAGAAAAAAATGCTCTGCTGCATTTAAGATTTTAATTCTTTCCTAAGGAAATTGTGTTTCTTACATCGTTGGCCTCCCCGAAGATATGAAACTTGGAAATCATTTTCCCTAAATAGAGCTCTCTTTCCACCTCCATCTGCTAAGCCCTAATGTGAAAACATGTTAGTGGATTTGTAGCTATCTCTCTTACCTTGGACTGAGCATTTTATGGGTAAAGAAAAGGTGTGATTGGTCTGGTAGTTAAGAATATGCCTCCATGGAGTGAGATTCAAGGTGTGGCTTACTGAGAGTGGCTGCAGAGATACAGGGCAGTTCTGAGCAGGCCTGTGAGGAAATGTCCGCATGATGACGATAAAAGTTCTGATTTTCATCCAAAGATTTAATGATGTAGCAAGTCAGGAAAATTAAGTAGGACTAATAAGGGCTGCATAACACTTTGATGACAGCCATTTAATTACTGGATACGTACTATTCACTCCACAAATCTTTATTTAGTGCCACTATATCACTGGGGACACAGAGGTGAAGGAGACAAGAACCCTGCTCTTGAAGAACTCACACTCGGGTAGGGAAAGAGAGGCAATGAAGACATAAATGAATGGACAAGATCACTTCAGCGATATATGTGCTTTGAAGAAAGTAAAACAAAGTAACATTCTGGAGAGTGTCTGGAGGGGCCTGGAAGCTCTGTGGATGGGATAGTCAGAGATGACTCTGATGAGAAGCACTTGAGTTAACTTATGCTTTGATGTTTTATGAATAAAAATGATAAAACTTTACCTTTTAACAAAATGACCAAACAGTGGACCAAACAGACAACCTCCTCCCATCCCGCCCCTGACTCTCACCATGAGCTAACAGTCAGGAAGGAGGTGACACATCCTCCCGTGTGAAGGAGAATTTCTGGCTAGGGCAGCTGAGACAGACACCAAAGTTCCTGCATCTCTCCTGAGGGAGCACAGCCTGAGCGACAGGTGAACGCCTCTCTAGCCTATGTGTGTGTGTGATGCGTAAGCGTAAGCGTATGTGATACTACATGAGATGAGTTCAAGTGTCGGGAGGTGCTGTGGGTTGACAGAATTGTTTCTCTCAAGGTTCATGTATTGGAAGCTTAATTCCCACTGTAACTGTTGAGGGTGGGAAATCCTATTATGGTATTGAAATGTGGGGACCACACTGAAGAGGTGCTTAGATTGTAGGACTGTGTGGAAGTGAATGGATTAATAATGGTGGTCGGGGCGTGGTTCTGAGGGGTTTAAAAAGAGAGTGAATGAGGAGGTTGCTCTCTCGCTCTCTCTCTGCTTCTGCCATCTCGCAATGTGAGACCCCTGGGTCACAGTCTCTACCACCAAGATTCTCACCAGATATGTTCCCTGGACTTAGGACTTTGCAGCCTCAGAAACTGTAAGCAATAAATTTCACTTTCTTATGAATTACCCGCCTGTGTATTTTGTTATAAGCAACAGAAATGGACTAACACATGAAGCGTAACTAGCACCCCAAAAGCCGTACAGCTAGAAGCCACCATGACACAATGCCACCCTCACAGAGCTGTGCT